ATATTATTTATTAAGACTTGTCATATGTTAGGCCATGTGCCCAACTCACGTTTTCTTTTCAATAATCAATGTTAAGATGAGGATACATTTTGTGTTCCTATGTTACAGAGCAGAACATTGTAGTTTAGAAATTTTAGCATAATTATTTTGTAATCTGTAATACTGAATAAGAAGTAAATCTGGAACCTGAGTCTACTAATTCTTTACCTGCAACTTATGATATGTTCTTAGCCACTGAACTCTACTAGCTGCTGTACTGCCAGAATCACACTTTGCTTCCCATTAGTAATTATCATTACCTATTCATATTCCATTGAGCCTCCCATATAAAAATAGATGAATAGTACTCACAATTATTTCTACTAAATTACTCAACTCACTCTTTCCCCATCGTTCATTCTGTTATTTCTTTATCCCAGCCTTTGATTAGCTACTGCCTGAAATGTTAGCTGACCACCTGATTTCGTCTCAGGTCCCCCAGGTCTACAGATACATACTTATCCCACATCCTGCTGCAAGTGTACTCTTACATGAATTTCTGATTGACAACTTTTTCTAAAATCTTTCAGGGGCCTCCATGGTGGTGTAGGAGTTGAAGTCTAAGTATTATAAAGCTATCGCCAGCCCTGGGGCATGAGTTTCATCCCCAGCAGGGAGCTGACCTATGCATGGTACAGCAGATCTCTCCTGTCTCACCTGCTGCTCCCCTCAGCAGTGTATTGCAGTCTATGGGCTTGTTCTGCTCCCCATTCTGTCTCTGCTGAGTCCTCTCATCCCCCTTCACCTCTAGCTTTTATATACTTAAATAACAAAATAAATCTTTAAAAAATTAAATAAATTATTGCAGATACCAGTCATCTTTGGTACATTTCCCATTCTCTCAACAGAGCACAACAGATCCCTAAAATCTGGATGCTGTCCGCCTCTTCCTGGACACTTCACATTTATTTGAAACATAAACAAAGTAATATTGACTAAACAATATTGTTTAGTGAACAACTGGCTGTATATCTGAGGAGTGAAGGAGGAGAAGAAAATTATAATTATCACATCTTGACCTCTAAAATTTCCCTTGGTTCTCTGTAATAAACAAGAAATGTTCTTGATTTGGTGTGGGTGTGATATGATAACACTGAAGAGGTGTGAACTAATCCCTCTGAATCATCAATCAATGTTACCTCAATTCAAAAAAAAATACAAAAAGATCCATAATATATGCTTATTGAAAAAAAAAACCCTCTAAGAACTTTATAGACTATATATAATGTTCATTTTCATTCAAGTATTCTCTATAATTCTATAATTTCTCTAAAGATATTGTAAGAAAAATATCCTTAATCTCAGCTTCATTTTAATATTTAACATTTTCAAATTTCATTTCCTGAGAAAATGTATTTTGTAATATCTCATCTGTTCACACAATATGTTCAGTTCTCTGAATTTTCTGTGTCCACTGACAATACTATGACTTGCCACTGGTAAATTTCTGGATATCTGGAACCAGACATGTTCATTGTATTTTTACAAATACTTGCCATAAAAATACACATAATAAATAATTTATCGTGCTGGTAGTGTTAAAAACTTCATAGTGTATAAAATCAGAAAACTATACTTTCTCAAAAAGCAATAAATCTGCTTGTAAATTAGAAGGTTAATCATTTTAGTCTTCAAGAAAATTTTAAATATAAACAATGTGACATATATCTGTTTTCATAAATTAATAGATCACATTTTAAATGAAATATGTATGTCGCTGGAAAAATGTATTTGTCATTTAAAGTACTAAATAATTAATAAAAATTTCTCTTAAAACATGTTTGCAGCAAAACTGCACATATTATTCAATATTTTGTCCAGGCTAAATGCACAGAATCCCACAGTAATTTAATACAAGAGTAATTAAAAAAAGAAATAAAACTGTGTATATTTATGTGTATGTATATATAAAACATATAGATCTATATGTACTATGCCTTGAAATTCAGAGGCATTAAATCAGATTACATTTGAAAAAAAATTATCTAAATAATATCTATATCAACAGCATCCGACCCACCACTAAATGCTTTAAAGGCAGTACAGTTTCCAGAATTCTTATTCTTTGAGCACTAATTATATGGGCTTTTAATTTTCATTAAATGTTGCTCCCTCCAGGGCACAGACCCAAGACAGCATGTGTAAGCAATAGGCTGATGGGAGTGGTAAGGATGCATATACTAAGAAAGTAATCCTGTAACTTGAGCCTTGAAAGTACTGGGGTGGGGTCCCTTGAACATGGAGCTCTGTTTTCCAAAGTGCTATGCTCTAGAGAAGAATAAAACTAAGACTTAATGGTGAGAACTAATAGATGAATTTTGCAATTAGATGACCAGAGAGAAAGAAAAAGAGGAAAAAACAGAATAATAAACAACTGCACTGTAGAACATTTGAAACTTAAAATTAAAATAAAATCTATGAGCTTGGGGAAGTAAATCAAGTCTTCATTGTAATTTCTTAGCTTCATTTAAAGAAATTTCCCAGGAATGTTGCTATGGAATGAGTCCCTCAAGCCATATTAAGCTATGCAGTTTTGCTATATCAGCTCTAAAACTGTACTGTATTTTTCTAATATGGACTTTCAATAAGATGAAACAGAATACCCAAAGTGCCTCTGGGTTGAAGCTCTCCATTTGTTTTGCACTCACACATTATGTAGAGAAATTGTAATGCACAGAAAACAGTCATTCCTTTCTAGAGTTAAGACCTAAAATTCACATATAATTTCTGTTGACAGCAATTCAGTATAGATTCAAATCTCCTGAATACTACATATTCTATAGGACTACTTTTTTTTTAATCTACTCATTTAGTAAATAGCTTTTAAATAAGCATGATACTAATAATATCTTTGTAAATATATTGTGTTGTAATTTACTGTAAACCCATCTGGAGTTTTCTGTAAGACAACGAAATTGGAAATTAATCCTTCAAGTCAGCCTTGATATAATGCTATGTATTCTGTTGATGTAAAAATACCACAAATTCAAATACCCAACAAATCTTGATATGTTATTATCAGGGCTACAAAGCTAAGATGCTTCCAAATTAGTGACCATTTAGCCAGCATTAAATGTTAACTACTTAGCCTGTTCAATAAAAGGTAAGGTTTGAGCCTTTTCTTCGGTGATACAACTAAAGATGATTTGAAGCAACAATGCAAGAAAACACATTCACAACAGAGCCATCTTATCTTCACCAACCCAAACTCACCAATTTACTTGGCAGATGCATGCACTGGCTCCTATAGACTTTTTGGTACTTTTAACAGTAGTTTTTTCCCCTTAAAAGGTAAACCCTTTCCTGATGTTCAGGATCCTATCTTACTTTTAAGGATCCTTCTCCAGTTAAGTATTCCTTTCTGTTGCTTTCTGCTATCCAGTTTGTAGTTATATGCTGTAACAGTCATGGATAACTACTATATCCTCTTATTTAAGTTACCTGTAGCATATGACATGGTAAGATGCATTTCTACAATTTTTTTTCTTTTATTTTCATAGCACTGCTCTCACCTGAATTCTTTCCAATTTGTTACTTTTAAAATCATCAGCAGATTCTTTCAAATCTCTTCCAAATCTCTAAGTGCTGGAGTATCTTAAAGATATGTCAAAAAAAAAAATTCACCCTTCTTACTTATATGCTCTGCCTAGCCCATGACTTTACATACCATATGGATACTGATAACTTTCAGCTATATATTTTTGCCAACTCTTGACTTCAACTCCAAATCCATATATGTGAGTGACCGATTTCTCTACTAAGATAAGAACTATTTCAGTATTGATTCCTAAAATAAGCATTTCTCAAGAGTTTCCTTATCATAGTAAATGATACCATCATCAGTCTATTTGCTCAAGACAAACACCTAGAAGCCATCCTGATTTCCACTTTTTTTAATATTCCAGATCCAATCCATCAGCGTCCAAAATATAGTCACAATTCAGTAACAGTCCTCTATAGCTACTACAACCATGTTCTGGTAAAAATTGCATCTTTTTCTTGTTGATCTATCTATTTGCCTCTGCTTTAACCCTCCTTTCCACATTTCCTACCTTCCACAGCAGCAGTAATATCAATCATTCCACATTAGGTCATGTCTTTGCTAAATATCATCAACTTTTTCTTACAATGACAGAAGAATACAAAATAAAAATTAGGTGGACTCTCCCTGGTGGCACAATGGGTTAAATGTAGCATATGAAGCTACCCAAAGCCCCTGAAGCACGAGTTTGATCTCCAGCCAGGGAGGAGACCCACATAGCACAGCAGACCTCCCATGACTTGCCTACTGCTCCCCTCAGCAGTGTATTTCAGTCAACCTGCCTGTTCTGCTCCCTGCTCTGTCTCTGGTGAATCCTCTAATCACCCGTTACCTCTGACCTGTATCTCTAGCATGGATTTTAATACAGAGCCTGTACTTCTTGAATGACACAAAATCATGGCTCTCCATATTGTGCTTTATCTTCCATTTCTCAAGGGAGAACTAAAGAACAACTATGGCAATATCTTCTAGAGTTAGCATTAAATCAAATAGGCAGCGGGCAGAATTTCAGCTGAGGAATGACATAACTTGAAAGCACAAAGTAGGAGGTCAAACTAAAAGTAAGTAACAACCAGTGGGCCAAATATAGTCATTTACTCAACAAGCATTGTGTACAATCCTATTTTTCCTCATATAGCTTCTAGAGATGTGAATGGGAATAAACATTTCCCATATATAGCCTTATAATAAGCATGGTAAGAATTCTTATTCCTATGATATTCAAATATTCGATATTCTTATAAATAAATAAGAGCTATAAACATTTTCCATATATAGCCTTATAATAAGAATGGTAAGCATTCTTATTCCTATGATATTCATATATTTGATATTCTTATAAATAAATAAGAGCTATAATAAACCCTTCATGAGTTATATTTCAAACATTTCTGTTAGTTGTTAGGTAAAATGTACTCACACTCAATTTTCCATTACGGTTGTCTTCTTCTCTCACTTCCAGAGCCTTCATAAAATTATCTTGCAGGTCTTTACCAGTACTCGTTAGTGTTCTGTAAAAATCAGGTCTTCAGTTATAATATATTAGCAAAAGAAAAAATATATATATATATATTTTAAAAAGTCAAAAGCTAACCACCCCATTTCTTTATCCAAGAGACAATTTCTTTACAACACAAAGACTATCCACACATATTATATATGATCACTATAAACTACACACAATTATAATCTACTAACTCCCCAAATTTCATTTCAATTGGTCTTTATTTATGAATAATTAGAACCAAATATATAAATCACATATATCAATATTATTTCCAGATACAGTAAATTTCATTAATGCCCTTTTCTTCACTGTATTATACCATGAAAATTCAATATAAATATATATATTACACACAGTTTTAAATTGTCTATCATTTTAATGTCATTTATTTAATATATGAAAATTTATTTTAGTTTGATGAGTTAATTTAGACAACAATGGCAACTAGATTACATTATTTTTATCATTTATAAGATACAAGAAGGCTGAAAAATTTAAGAGGGGTTACAAAATAAGCTCTGGATATGTAATATACCGCATGCTGTTAATTAATACTGTATTATAAATTCAAAAGTTGCAAAGAGTATATTTTAAAAGTTTTCATCCCAAGAAAAATAATTTGTAACCATATTTGGTAATGGATCTAAACTAGACTTTTTTGTGGTGGTTATCTGAAATATATACATGCATTGCATCATTATGATACATTTGAAAACTAATATAATCTTAGGTATGAATCATATCTTAGTGCAAAAATTAAAATTAAAAATTAATTTAAAAAATAATTCAAGGGAGAAATTACTTATCTGGAAGTAAATTTAAAGACAATTTGTCACAGAGATCTCAATTAAACAACATTGAACCACACAATGAAAATTGAGTTGAAGTCTGATAGTTATTTCCTACATTTTCGATACATATTTTTATTATATTCTACTATTAGCAGAAACTATTGCAGCACACAGATAAACAAGCTAAGACTCCAGCTCTCAATTTGCCTGTAGTCTCAGAGTGGTAAATAGATAAATATTTTGACAGTCATTTTATGTGACATTCTAATAGAGACAGTTCATAACAAAACTACCCTACCTACTTAAGGGAAGGTCACTTAATTTTAAGGAATCTAAAGCTTAACAGTAATTACTGAGCTAACTGCTAAAAGATGAGATGGTATTAGCCAGTTTGGGGGTAGGTTAGAAGAGGAGAGGGTTACCAGTAACTATACAGGAATAAAATAATTTAAATATAAAACTACAAAGAGCCTTTGAGTGACTGCAAAGCAGTCAGAAAGGAAAGTAAATGCAGAAAGTGAGGCTAAATCATTTAATATTAATAAAGCTAACATTTTTACAGAAAAGTCACTGTAAATATTTAGTTAAGGCTACACAGATAATATAAGCAGCAGAACCTATATTCAAACATAAGTTAACATAAGTGGTGGCAATGGGCATCCTTGTCTTGATCTGAAGTTTAAGGGAAAAACTTTGTTTTTTTAGCAGTATTATGTTGACTATTACTTTGTTATATAGAGGCTTTATTATATTGAGGTAGGTTTTTCTATTCCTATCTTGTTTAGAGTTTTAATTAGAAATGAATGTCAAATCTTATTAAATGCTTTCTCTGCATCTACTGAAGATTAACATATGATTTTTATATTTGCTTTGGTCAGTAAGATGTATTACATAATTTATTTATGTATATTGACCCACCCTTCCATCCCTGGCATAAATCTCACTTGATATGATATATAATCCTTGTGATATACTGCTAAATTAAATTTGAACAATTTTTTTAAAAGATTTTTGTATAAATCTTTTTTTATTTTTTAATTTTTTTTTCTTGTACTGTCTATCTGGTTTCAGTACTAAGATAATGTTGGAATCATAATGTGTGGTAGGGATCATTTCTTGTAATTGTTTAAAATAATCTGAGTAAGATTTTAACTTTTAAAGTAAAATTACTTTAAAAAGTATTATTTTAAAGGTTTGATAGAATTTATTTGTAGAGCCATCTGTTTCTGGAGTTTTGTTTTTGGAACATTTTGTATTAGTTTCAGTTTCCACACCAGTGATCAGTTTATTCAATTTATCTTAATCTTCTTGAGTTACTTAGTAGATTATAGTGATCTAGAAATTAATCCTTTTCTTCAATATTATTAAATTTTTCATATAGTTGTTCATGGTAATCTCTTATGGCTCTTTGTATTTTTTTTTTGCTATCTATTAATTATTAATTCTTTCATTTGTAGTTCTATTTCTCAATGTTTTCTCTATTTTTCTTACTCTAGCATAGTCTTTAAACTTTTTTAAGATTTGTTTATTTATGCATACAGAACTGGGGGGTGAGAGGATTCACCAGAGACAGAGTGAGAAGCAGAACCGGCAGATCTACTGAAATACACTGCTGAGGGGTATGTCAGGAGAGGTCTGCCATGCCATGTGGATCACCTCCCTGGCCAGGGATGGAACTTGTGCTGCAGTGGCTACAGTAAGCTTCTTAGTGCTGTGCTTTCACCCATTGTCCTTAAACTTAATTTCATTTCTTTTCAGTTATTTTTATTATTTCGTTCTTTCTACTAACTATGGCTCTTGTTTGCTCTTTTTTTAAGTTGGTGTAGGTATGTTATTAGATGGTTTGTGATTTTTTTCCTCTTGCTTCTTAATGTGGCCCTGTATTAAAATCATCATGCCCTGTAAGACCATATTTGCTGTCTCTTTTGGATTCTGGGTTTATATCATCAATTTCATTCATCTCACAGTAAAGTTCTGCTGCAATTGCCTCTTTTATTTGATTATTATCAAGCTATATATTCTTCAGTTTCCATGTATTCATATTTTTCCTTGTAATTAATTTATATGGCATTATGGTCAGAAAATATAGTAGGTATAAATTTTATCCTTATTGTTTTATTAAAAATTTACTTGTGGGCCCTCCCTGGTGGCGCAGTGGGTTAAAGCACTGCACTAAGAAGCTGAAACCACTTCCACATGAGTTCGATTCCCGTCTGCCCCGGAGGTGACCACATGGCGTGGCAGACCTCTCCTGACCCGCCCGCTGCTCCCCTCAGCGTGTACTTCGTCGATCTGCCTTTTCTGCTCCCCACTCTGTCTCTGGTTAAGTCTTTCGCCACCCCTGAGTCTCTGGCCTGTACCCCAGTTCTGTATGCACAAATAAATAAATCTTAAAAAAAAAAAAATTTACTTGTGTCCCAACATATGATCTATTCTTATAAATGTTCCCTGTACACTTGGAAAAAAAAAAAAAAACTGTGAATACAATTGTTTGGGGGTAGAATGTTCTATAGATATCTGTTTGATTTACTGGTTCTTATTAATCTAATGCTATTGTTTCCTTATTTATTATTTACCTAATAGATTTGTTGTTGTACATGGAAATAGTGGAGTCCGTGGTATTACAGTGTGGTTACTCTGAACTCTTCTGTCACCCTCCTTAGCACCAATGGGTCAGACACAGGGTTGTTTTTTTTTTTTCGTTCAGAGAAATTTTGATGGGGCATTTGTGTGGTGGTGTTCTTCTGGTCTCCTCCTTTTTAAAAACTTTTTATGTGCTGTGATATGGTTAGATTTCCAGACTATTGTCACTATATCTGTTAAAGTTATATAAGAACTAAGTGTAGTAGACATGAAAGAGGACTAGAACAGTAGCGGACCACCAGTGACATTTAACAGACATAATTCAAACTTGGAGTTTTATGCTGGGTAGCCCCAGGGAGACCCTCGTCTTTGTCCATTTTTTTGGCTAAAGAGTCTCATAATAGTCTTTTGTTCATTTCCAGGATATTTTTAAGCACTACATGCATCAGTGGGCATGGATTATAGCTGACAGGAAGTTACATGGCATGTACCTATTCTCTTTAGTACCACAAAGCCTAATCCTGAGATGTGTGTTCCTGTTATTGGTAAATGAGTTCTAATTTGTTCAAGTCTTTCTTTGTTTTGGTTTTAGCCCTCGGCTGGCATTTGGGCTATCTCAGCTTGGACTTCTAGTAATCACGTCTATCAAGATAGCCAAGTGCTAGTACCTTTTTTTCCCTGCCAATTCAGGTTCTAGCTGTTCTATATTAAGAGGCCCAAAGCAGTAGTCCTCACTCTAGACCTTCACCCTGACAGCTCTCCAACAATGCACCCTCCATTCTCAGAGCCAACTCACACACACCCTTATCTTGTACAGTGCTGGGTCTTGGGAGACTGCTTGCTGGTTTGTGCCCAAGTCAATAAAGGCAGGGGGCTATGCACAGAAGCCACTCCACCCCTCTGATGTTATTATCACTTTAAACAAAGTTCACTTTAAGTTTATCCTATCCCTTTCTGTTGGACTATAAATCCTAGCTGTGGTCTCTATATGCTATACATGAAAGAAATCATATGGTTATTGTCTTTCTCCACCTGACTTTTTTCACAAAAGATGAAACGGTCCAGGACCATACATGTTACAGCAAACAGCTGGGTTTTAATTATTTTATAGCTGAGTAGTATTCCACTGTGTATTTATACTGTATTTTCTTTATTCATTCCTCTGTCAAATTTTGATTTGACCTCTTGACTGTTGTAACTGAAGGTGCAATAAAAATGGTGGTGTATACATCTGAATAAATTATTTTATTTTGTGGGGAGAGGGTAAATATCCAGAAGTGGGATAAATGGGTCATATGAAATTTCTACTTTCATTTTTCTTAGGAATCTCAAAGCTCAAAGGATGGAAGTGGGATTATGGTAATTAAGCAAAATAAGTGGAAGAAAAATGATATCCAATGGTTTCACCAACATGTGAATCCAAACAAAGGGTCAGACTAAAACTTGAAAACTGACGAAGGATATGAGACATCTAGAAAAGAAAGAGTGGGGGAGGAGTAAGAAAGGGTGAGGTGGGAGTGCACATAGAACTAAAGTGAAAGACTATGGGAGCTTTTGTGGTGGGAGAACTAAGGTCACCACATCTGAGGGGAGAAATCACAAGCTGTCTGAAAATTAACAATGTAAGAAA